CTGTTCATCACATGTCAGGACACATTTGTTACGTAAAGATACTTTGTCAAATGATGGAAGCCTTTGAGCGATCAAACATGTTAGATGGTCCTTTTCAAGATCCATCGTAATGGGTTTGTCAAAGACAACTCGGCATTGTGATCTGTAATCATACAAATAGAAAGCATTGATTAACGGATTGATATGGCAAATTACTAGTTTACTTATTGATTTGGTGATTTATACACGGACTAAAGAATGGATGGGTTGGCGAATAAATGAAAACATGAATTCAAGGGTATTTTTATAGCTACAACCGTTTGGTCAGTTAGTAAGTTATTTTGTCATTAATTCATTCAGTCAGTTACTCGGTTATTCTATCTTTCAGTCAGTTGGTCGATCAGTCAGTCAGTTAGTTGGTTAGTCACTCTGATGGTCAGTCAGTCAGTTAATCATTTTTTTATTCAATAAGTTAGTCAGTTCTTCTCTCATTCAGTCGGTTATTCAGCCGGTCAGTCAGTCAGGTGGTCAATCAGTCTTCAGTCAGTCACTCAGTCGTCAGTCAGTCAGTCTGTTGGTCAGCTGGTCGGTCAGTCATTCAGATAGTCAGTCAGTTAGTCAGTTGGACAGTCGTCGGTCAGTAGGTTGGTCAGTCAGTCAGTCAGTCACTCGGTCGGTCGGTCGGTTGGTCGGTTGGTCGGTCAGTCAGTCAGTCAGTAGGTTGATCAATCAGTCAGTCAGTTAGTCGGTGAGACAGTCCGCCAGCTAGTCATCCAGTCATCCAATGGTCGGTCAGTTTGTCCACATTACTTTGTTAGAAGCCAGAATCCGTTCGAGAAATGTATTAGACACTTAAAACGTTTGAGTGTAAATTATTTGCAATCAAAATTTACTGAGTCTATGTTGAAAATGTTAGCTATATATGTAGATATGTAGTTCTCTAAAAAGAGTTGGGCCACAAGTTTCCTCTAATTTTCACTCTTACTTTTCGTCTCCATCTATTGGTGTGACGTCTTGTGCTGTGACCACTTCATACTTGCCATAATTGATCAGTCTTCCTTTGCTAACAAATAGTAAGAGTTTGTCTCCAGCCTCCAGGCCGTCACATGAATACAAATCCATGGTGTCTTGAGTGATAACGGCAACTTTCCACGACTTCGAGTGATCAGTCTGACACAAGTTGACCGTTTTTCCATCGCACACAAAGCCATTTGCTATGTTGTAAACAAAAAGATTATTCAGGGAAAACTTCATCCCGCCATAAGATACGAGAAGTAGAATCTACCCAAGTAGGAGGTGTAACATATCTGAGATCTAGTCCTATGTGAATTGCCGGATAGATTCCAAAATATGTCCCACACTTTTCCGTAGACCCATCTATTGTCTTCTCATAAAATATCATACCACAACTCCCTACTATTACCAACCAATTCCGGAAAAAACAGCTTTGTGTATTTTTCACATCTCTCAGTTTGCTTGCCTAAGTAGTCGTGCTAACTTTACCCAGTCCCTCTCCGTCATGACCAAAGTCGAGTAGACAGTGAAAATAACTTACTCTCAACAT